CCCCCGATCCCGCCTGCGGCGCTGCCCCGCGGCGACCGAACCCCCGCACCCCTCCCCGCCGGGCACCCGCGTGGCCTCGTGCCACTGACGTGCTGGAAACTGACGTCAGGGCCTGGCAGCTGATGTCACACCCTGGAAACTGACCTCACAGCCTGGAAACTGACCTCACAGCCTGGCGGCTGATGTCACACCCTGCAAACTGACATCACGGCCTGGCGGCTGATGTCACGCTCTGGAAACTGACATCACGGCCTGGCAGCTGATGTCACACCCTGGAAACTGACATCACGGCCTGGCAGCTGATGTCACGCTCTGGAAACTGACATCATGGCCTGGCAGCTGCCCGGATGCCGGCAGCAGCTTGCCCCAGGGCCGCGCTCCCCCAGGCCCGAGCCCCGGCTGGCGGCAGGGTGTTGTGGCTGGTGATGACCCCAGGGAAGGGCCGCCGGGCCCGGGGCGAGGTTCTCTGGCGTGGGGGCCCGTCTGTCCCACGGCTGGCGTTGGCCCCGGGGGGGATCGCTCCTCCTGGCTGCTTGGCAGGGATGCACGGGGAGGATGCTGTCCTCCCAGCACGGCACACCATCCGGCGGGAGGAATCCCGTGGAAGGGTTTTATGCTTGCTTAGTTTGTGCTGTTCAACAAGTGTTAAATCCTGCTCTCGGGCGCTGAGGGGTTGCAGCTGTGGCTGGCACCCTTTTTCTCTGCAGGCACATTGTGGTGGTTGGGTTTTGTCGATCGGCCGAGTGTGTGAAGCTGCGTGACGCTGGCAGCCGTGCAGTGGGGACAGGGATGCTCGCGGGGACGGAGCAGGGGGCGTGGCTCCTGCTGAAGGGGACGTTCCTTGCGTGGCGCTGGATGTGCGTGTGACCGGCCTCCCTGAGCCCCATTTCTGCTCCTGGCGCGAGGTGGGTTTGTTCAGCTGGAGCTTGCTCTCGCGCTCCCATCACACAGCGCTCACATTCCTGGGCTCGGGTCCCGCAGTAGTAAGTGCACATCATTTTGGTTTTTTCTATGCAAGCGTCTAGATACTTTAAAATCAAGTGTGGGTGAAGGATAGCAGGGTAGAAAGTAGAGTTGGTGACCCTCTGCAGGTGCAGACCACGTCTGTCCGTGTGGCTCTGTACGTGTCTCTCACAGGCGTACGTGTTTCTGACTGTGGCTGACGGGCACGACCGTGGTGACACTAATCGGGGACTATAACTAAGAACAAATTCTTTCCCT